ATGTCTGTATTCCATGAAGTCGCCATTGGGAATCAGATCGCTTTGATAAATTGTCAGAGGGAGAAGTCGTAAGAAATTCACACCTAAATGTCACTTTCCCATGGTCAAGGATGACAGAGCTGGTTGGTGGTGTCAGGGGAGCACCTTTTGAAAACCTACTATGAATTCTCAAAAAGGAAGATAATTCAATTAGCTTATCATTTCGAGACACTATTCATGAAAATTGCTTCTGGTATATTCAATGAAGTTCGACCTCTTATTGAATCAGTCGTGAAGTAGACAGAGCTTTTGCGTCCGGTCAATTTGAGATTTCCAGCGTTGTTGTGTCGATTCCGCGCCTGTGGTTCCGCGATATCGCCAATGGTCGCCGTTTACCGGACGTACCGATTTTGTTCTGCTACGAAGGTTTGTTCGCAGAAGCAATTTTCATGAATAGTGTCTTGAAATGATAAGCTAATTGAATTATCTTCCTTTTGAGAATTCATAGTAGGTTTTCAAAAGGTGCTCCCCTGACACCACCAACCAGCTCTGTCATCCTTGACCATGGGAAAGTGACATTTAGGTGTGAATTTCTTACGACTTCTCCCTCTGACAATTTATCAAAGCGATCTGATTCCCAATGGCGACTTCATGGAATACAGACATGTAAGCTCATACATTGAACTCAACACGGAATTCTCACTAATGCTTGTTTTCTCTAGAAGAGCAGCGAAAATTGTTATCTCGAAATTTTCAGAATCACCAATTCAACACGAATTTATCCTTACGAGGTGTTGCTCTGATTCTTGACAAGAAATGGAACAACGCCTACCTAATACCACAAAGCCATAAGGTCAGTAAACATGGACATCATTCAGTAACTCAGGAAAGCAAGAATAGCTCTAAATAACAAGCAATGGTCGAATATTTTGTTTCCACCGGAAAAACTATGCAAGAAAGGATAAGAAACTTTATTAAAACAAAGAATGGGACCGTGCCGTTTAGCTTTTTTCGTCGCCCACAAACAGTTCTTGGGCTGGCCCGTGAGTAACTTCTTTCCTTTCTCCAATTCAAAAACCGACGTCTTAATGCCTTGAGCAATTCTTTCTGCCCTACTCTTTCTGGTCTGAGAAAATATCTGTGCCGCAGTAGCCAGGCGGTAAAGGAAGCTATGTATAACATTTTTGCGACAAAAGGTAAGCTACTAGTTGAAGGGTGTAGTACTCCATAACTAAGATACTAACTCCGCAAAACCGCTCCGCCCACCAGTGTGTTGCTACAACGAGTAATTTTCGTTTAATTTACGCCTCAAGAGAAAATTTTATTTGAGCAGAAGTATCATTAGTTCGCCCATAATTACGCTGTTGTCGAATTAAGGTGTATTGTTGACATTCTGTCGCTATTTGGGGTGAACACGTCCAAATTCAGCCTCTCTCATGGCTTGTCTACTCGTCCATGGGAAACCAACTGGCAAACAATTGGGGCCATTTATTGGGTGTTCTTGACGCGACTTCACTAATTTTCTGCTATTGGCAAAACTGTAGCACGTCCCTTTCACTGTGGATCTATGGTAGTTCCCTTTACCGGTCGCGAACGGCTGTTGTGCGTGATTCCCCTACGTTTCGTCAACCATTTCTCTAGTAACCTATTCTCTCAGTACTTTCATCTGTAAATAGCGCTAATTTCAACCAAATAGAAACATCCTTCTCCGTGTGCTGCAGTGCAAGTGTATAAAGTACATACGCAATGGTTGAGAACTTCCTACATCTATTGATCGACTAGGTAAATGTTTTTAATAAGACATTTTTTAGAAAAGTTTCTCATTTGTTCAGTTGAAATCCGCGCAGTTTAGGCAACACTAATGGCTGACACGTTCCACGAGAAAAGGAAACATGCAATCACCAGAGCCTGCACTCCGTCACTTTTGAGGTGAGTAGATGAAGGCCAGTCACACATAGAAACAGGGCTTAATATACTGGTTGCAAGTTGTGGTCAAGGAAGCACCTCTTCGCCTATTTCTCCCCTAGTTATGTTACTGGTTTCAAGCACTTATAGAAGTTACCAAATCCTTATATTGCATTCAAAGCTTAGAAAAAGATGAGAATGCTTAAAAACATACCAACTTTACCCTACCTTACCCTTTCCACAGATCTTGCCCAATTTTCAATATTTTTGCGAGTAAGTAATTTTCACGTACCCATCATATTTTTCGATTTTCCGCTTATTTTTTTTTGGGCGGTAGCGGTGTAGTGACATGTGGCCCGCTTACCACGCAAGCCCGGTTTCGGACCAAAATTCTAGGGTCGTTGAGTAGCCTTCATCCTCCGGCGTCCCTTTAACACGTTGACGACATTGTGCAGCGCATGCGCATCACACCTTGAGCACCGTGTGGGACCGTGTGCAGCGCATGCGCTGCACACACAAAATATTTATTTTTTCGCGCATGCGCTACTTTCTTTTCTAATTTTTTGCATCTATTCCATAGACTACACCATAATATGACTAGACACGGCGAGGTTCATTGAATGGTTGAATATGCTCCTTTTTAGCGAAGGTTTTCTAAGCCCTACGAATTTCCCAATTGTGTTCATTCCTAGTTTCCTTTATATTCTGATAATCTTGGTCATAAAAAAGAGCAGTAGAAGTAAGTACAGACCCACACATATAGCAAGACATATGTTTTAGTGGAGCAACCGCGTCAAAAATAATTTTGAGGTTTTCACTGCAGCAAAAGCAACTGAAACTTGCCTTTCATCGCCAGAAAACGTCAATTCGATCGATTTTTTACAGTTGTCCCTTCTGATAAGTTTGACACATCGAATATCATTCTAAACATTTTGTTGCATCCGAGTTTTGGGTATTTAAAGCTCAAAATTCACGGATTTGATGTGAGGCGGCGGCGCCTGCAAAATCGCCGTGGTCCCACGCGGCGCAAAAACCCAAAACGCGCGTTGTCGTCAACGTGTTAAGTACCAGACTTGTCTGGTACAATATAAAAAAACACTGACTTGTACATCGGCTGGCCCCCGCAAGTCATTGTATAGGCCACATCGCATTCAAACGCCACTACGAATGTACAAATGGAAGTAGAATGCGTGCCGCATCCCAAAAGGGATTGATCAACGGCAAATGCTTTATCCTTTATCCTTATCCATCATATTTTGTGAGCCAAAGAGAGAGTGTATACCGAAAAAAAACATTTTGCTGAAAATTGACAACAATAGCCAAATTTTATGCAAACTTCAAATTATTTTAAAATGCTTATAATTCGAATAATAACGCACAACAGTTAATGTTAGGAAGTTTTTGAACTTCGTTGCAAACACCTTAGAAAAATACAGCTTGGCTGCCCCATTGCATCAAGTAAATGAATGACTAAGAAACATTCTTCGATTCATATTCATTCTTCCATTTTCGGTAGCTATAGCCCTTTTTTGTCTTTCCGAAGGAGTCCCCAATGTCTTCCAACTTTCAAGTATTCAATCCAATTATGCGAAGCCTCATGCTTTAAAGGACGAATTCACGATGAAAAAGCAACCCATTTCAAATTAACCTAGGGATGGTGAGTGGTACACGAAAGAAGGAAGAACCATGAGAAACGGCCCAGAACCCGAGAAATGGGACCCCTTCCTTGCCCGTTGATTCGAGCATTGATGCGACTCTCATCGCTGTGCCCTCTTCAACACTACGCTCTCTCAGCTATCTAATCACTCCACGTATTGAACTACGGCGAGTGATCAGATGATCGGTGGGCGGAGATCGCCGGACCCGCCAGCTTTGAGGCATGATAGGTCGCCGAGGTCAAATTTTTCCATGCGAATTGCGCGTCAGTTCGCACCCTCAGGAGGTCCGTGGGTCCCTCAACTAGGTCAGTTTCCCTTTCTTCGACCTTCATTCTAATCGTGAATTCCTCCTTTAATCTACTCTAGCAGAAGAACGACGCGTTGAGTTCGAGTTTTGTTGGAAGACAATGTATGCCACGCATTTGATCTTCACCTCAAATCAGCTGTGAGTAGTTCCTTCAGTAGTGATACCCGTGAGTGGCACAAAAAGTCTCGACTCCAGGCAACCTACAATGAAAAGGGTTTTTGGAATTTGCTGCAGCTATTTTCAAAGTACTGAAAATCAGGGGGAAATAAATTGTGTTAGAAACTAGAAGCCTACTTTTATAGAGGAAGGATTGCTCATCCAAATGGCCACTTTCCCTACCGAATTTGAAATGGTAGCAAACACAGAAGATACAAAGGTGTTATTCCTTAACCCCATGGTGCAGGTTGACTTAGCAGAGCCAACCCAGGAATTTTCCACAAACTCTAATTTGTTAGTATGAGTAGTGCCCTTCATGATCTACTTGGCGCTTCACCAACCAGCGCCAGGTAATCCGCTCTTAACTTTATTCAATTACTCTACATACTAGAGAAGTGGAATTCAAGCGAAGAGATGCGTGTAAGTAAAGGTCATTCCACAAAACCAGATAGAAACTTTCAGGAACCAGGAGTGTTGCCTTTGGCGCTACAGAAGTGTTATTAACCTCCATGGTCATAAGAAAGAAATCATTTTCCGCAGATGTATTGGCAAGGTACCGCTCGTGAGACGATGTTGATTATCCTTTCTTCGGCTTATTCGTGCAGTGTCGAAAGTGGCTTCGTTTAGATCCCTGTCGAGCAGGCCAGCTTTCCGTTCGTCAGCGAATCTCACGAGGAAATCGCAAGACAAGGAGGAATGAGTCGGTTCGCTTTATTAACATCGTCAAAATTTTCTAAAAGCGCAAAACCTATCAAAAACTTCTTGACGTTGATTTTGATCAAATTTTACACTTTTCTTCAGCCGACTCTTCGTTCCTGTGCCGAACATGATTCACAAGGATTGTCGTGAAAGTCGTTTCCGTCTATATCAGCTCACTATTGATGATCCAAAACACGGGAGGATAAGTAAAGTGAGTTATGCCCAGGAACTCTTCTCTTCTTTCGTTTCGGAATAGAAAGACTCAGGTAATGGAGAAAATCGTCGGACTAGACCCCAAAGAAAATCGTTCATTCCGCTAAGGACTCTTAAGTTTTTTTGGTGATCTTTGGAAATGTTAGAAGGGTAACATCCTGGTTACTAGGAAAGTTGAGGCTACTAATATTATATCATTGTTACCCTTCCAAGTATAAACTTTTATTAAAGGAATCTTGCGCGGAAAAATCATGATTCTATTTCAGCCATAAATCACTGGCTTGAGACTCATTATCCACGATAATAGTGAAAAGAACTGAAGTATTGCTTTCGTTTTGATTAGAAATTCGAAAACTCGAAAAGGCTGCTACGCGTTCAAATTGCCCACGGACGTCTTTCACAAATGCTGGCGACGGGGATGCTCAAACTTGGTTCTTGGAGTGCATTCACTAGAAGCTCTTTCTGGCCTTCTGCTTCGTTGCATTCACATCTTACACTTCTACTCCATCCTATTCCATCGATCGATTTGTCTCCACTCTCCGAAATCGCGCGCTTTAACCCGATTCTCTCATTGCGCCGCCTGGTACGTAGCCGGCCAAACACCGTCTTTTCCATTCGCCTGGCTCTGCCTCCTGGTCCTTCGATGGTCCATAGTGTCGTTTTTGTACGTTTAGTTCTCTTCAGAAACCGAATCTTCATGCGTGAAACAATGGGTGCTATTTCCAGTGATCACAAATGACATATTCATGTTATAAAA